GGCGCCGAGCTGGCGGAGGACCGAAAGCTCGAAGTTGACATGGTTGGTGTTCAGGGACTCCTCATCCAGGGGCTCGGGCATGGCGGTGCCAGGGGTGTACGGGAGCTTGACAGAGTGGTTCCAGATGGGGTTGTTGGAGAAGGCGATGTTCTGGTTGCTGTGGTGCCGGAGACAGCGGGGGGGGGGGGAGGAGGGGAGGGGGCGGAGGGCGTCAGTAGGATGCGAGAGCCGAGGGAGAGGGAAAAAAAAAGGAAGGATGAGGCAGACACCGGGGACGTACAAGCGAGCAGAGGCCTCGGCGCCGAGGGGGGAGTTGGACAGATCGGACAGGGTCTGAGCGAGGACTGTGTGCAGAGGGAGGTGTCGGGAGGCCGGATGGGCGGTGGGCGGTCAGGAAAGGCAGTCTCACATTGAAGTGCATCGACCGGGATGGCGATGGAGACGCACTGAAGTTGGTGCCCAGGAACCGGACACCGAGAGCCAGACCGACGGCCAGACCGACAGATGGCAGAGAGGGGAAACGACGGCCGCGGTTGAGCAGGAGAATCGGGGCGGCCAGGGCACCGAGCAGGGTGAGCTTGCTCTGGGCGAGGCCGGTCATGCGATGCCAGCGGTTGACAATCACCGCGTCGTTCTCGGAGATCTGAATGGCAGAGGGGCGGTTTGGGAGAGGGTCAGGCGCGCCATGTGGCAAGGCAAGGAGAGGTCAGGAGGTGAGAGGGGGAGGGGCAGGGGGCAGGGGGGCAGGGGCACCCGCGTACCGAGTGCTGGTGGTGGTAAGCCCAGCCGAGGATGGTCCAGGGCATGGCGGAGGCCGGGAAGACGGTCTCACGAACGACAAGGTTGTCCTTGGGAATGACGCCGGCGGGGCCGGGGTAGATGATGGGGTTGTCGGAGGTCATGGTTGGAGGGTGGAAACCAGGTGGGGGATGCCTACCTAGCGAGGGGCACGAAGAAGGAGCGGCGGCGACGAAGAGCGCGTGGTGGGACGGCGTGAGTCACTGTGTCTCGAGGGGAATGGTGGCGACGGGCAGGGGTGGGGAGGGGACTGTGGTGACCAGGTAATGGGAGGA